TTTTCATAATTCCTTCATTTGTACATACTTTTATAGGTAGTACTAAAACTCGATCCAAATACTACTTCAAAATTGACGACAACTTATAGTTCCTTGCAAATTATAAATACAACATTATCATTTACTACTTACTAATGATATTGAAAACAATCCTAAGAATACTGCTAAGACGATCCCCTTCATCTTAAGTCTATTACACCATTTATTTAAGAGTGAACAAAAATATATTTATTTATATCGTTATGACACAATATGACAATCGCTTCGGAGTTAACCCGAGGAGAAAATTTCACTTTCAGCGTTCGTTTCGAGTTTCGTAACATGCGACTTTATCATAATTAACACTTCACATGTAGATTTCGGCCACTTGTAAAATGAATGATAAATGATAGTAATAAATTAGAGGGAAAAGTTCGAATTCGCGACGTATTTTGTTATTGTTGTAAACACAGCGATTATGTTACTCGGCGGTGTTACGGCGCGTTCTTCGCACACTGCGAACGATATCAGCCCGGCGATGGCAAAACGTGTTGGCTAAGAAAACACACCTGGGAGGGGGGATGAAGCGATGGCCGACTGGCAATTGTCTTCGACTAGTTCATCCGACATGGATAACTGACAAACTTATCTGATATTTGAAAATTTCGGAAAATCTAAATAGAAGCTCTAGCATGGAACGTGACAACTAAGACCAACAGACGGAGACTACAAACAGTTCAAAAACAAAGCTTTTACCCAACAAAATATTTACATGAGCAGACTGATGTACCGACTATACTCGAACAAATTAAAAAGCTCACTGAGAATTTCTACTATAAATATGTACGACAACATCGCGGGTCTCGGCCAATTTACAAAAAACATAGTTTGGTATGGCAAACACGCCATGCCAAACTATATCCTGAGCGATCCATAGCAGCAAATGATACTTGGCTCGCCACTCTGATTTTCCTTCGGAGCGAATAAATCTTTTGTATTTTTTGTGTAATTATTTACTATTATAAATATTATTGAGTGATTTTTTAAAGAACAGTTTTCCTTTCCTTTTTTTTTTTTGTCACGCATTTCATATTTGAAATACTTATTATTGTATTAATATAACAGGTACGAAGCATTATATACCTACGGGTAAAAATCCGAACAAAATTAAAAATATTATCTACACATTTATGTTTATTAAAATATAGATTTTTAAATGAAAAATGGAAAAAAAATAGAAGCTCTTTCCTTTAAAGGTACCGTATTTTTCGGATAGGAATGATGTTGCAAAATAGGACACGATCATAGACTGAAACGCACATTTTTTTCATGTGTTATCCTGATTCCTCATAAACTTGAAAACGACATTTTTAGCCTCAAGGAAACATCATTTTTGTTTCCTAAAACATAAATAATAAGAGAATTTCTTGAGGGTTTTAGAAAGTAACAAATCTTATTAAAATCTTTATGCCATTATCAATTTAAAAAGACCCTTGGATGTTTGCAATATTTTGTTGAAATTATTCAAACAGAATCTAGAAAAGTAATTTAGAAGCTCATTTTTAACTTCCCGTAGGATATTTATAGTAATGGGCCGAAAATCGAAAATGATTTTTTTTTGAATTTCTTAACGTTTTGAAGGTTTTTGAACATTTTGGCATACCTCAGAAAAAATGAATGTGTATGTGTATGTGTTTTGTATGACCGCATGTTTTCGTCCACGTTTTCGGGCGCACGGATTAACCGATTTGAATGATTCAAAAAACATTCGATTCATATTGATAGTGAGATGTGTTGGTTAGTTTTTGGCAAAGGCAGGTCCATCTGTTACGGAGATACGGAGCAAAGAGTGCAGAAAATAGAAATCGAGTTTTTGAGAGAACGGAGTATTCGATTTAAATGATCTAAAAACATTCAATTCGTAATGATTGGGAAAAGAAGTGATTAGTTTTTAGCAAAGGCAGGTCCAGCCATTTCAAAGATACAGAGTTAAATGTGCAAAAAATGGCAGATTTTGAGAGAACTAAGCGTACATTTTGAATTATTCAAAGAACTTTCTGCTTGTTGCAACAAAATAATTGCTTTTGGGAAAAAAATTGTTTCCAATTTTTTTTTTTTTTGTATATCGAAAGTAATTCAGAATATAATTTTAATTCTGACTAAAATTCCAATATACTTTAAACAAATAATTCAGTTTATATAATTCTTATAAATATTAGACAATGTTACAATATTTATAATAATCTATTGAAAATTGAAAACATTTAATATTTCTCGAACATTTCGTTACGGTACAAGAAGTTCCAGCAATTTGCCTTAAGACACGATGCCATACACTACTAGTTAGTCTATAAAATAGTCTACAACACGGCTCTTTTACAATCAAAAACTTTTTAAAACTATAAGTTTATGCCAGATAATCCGGTTTTTTAATTATATAATATGTCGATGTTTTAAGTCATTCTGAATCATTTGGACCAAATTTTGATAAAAAATATGTGCCAAAATTTGACTTTTCATCGACGTTTCAGAGTATTGATAAGGTTTCGCATTGACCCGATGCCTTTACTTTAGAATTAAGTAGTTGATAAATGCAAAAATTTTCACCCACATTTACCGCAAAAAATCGGTTTTGAAAACATAAAAAACGTTTAAAAAGTGGTGAAAGACAGTTGAGGATCGTGCTGATTAGATTTTGCAAAAGACTGCCTATAAAGTTCATGATCTAAATAAACGAACATACTAAAACAATATAATCTTACAAGTGGTTGAATTATAAAAACTCATTAAACTTTGCAATAATAATAACAAAGTATCCCGATATCCTGATTCTAAATGAATTAAGAAAATTGAAGAATTAATTATCCATCAATTCCTGTAATCAAAGATCCAATATAACATATCTATTGAGAAGTTTGGTGTACCTTGAAACATATGCATTCGCAGATCGTTTTCAACCATACATGGATACAACAGGTGTCATATTATTGTTTGAGATCATCATATATTTACCTAACAATGTTTCATCATTTTAAAACTTCTACTCGATGAATTACTTATTACTTCATCATTTTAAAATGTAGGGTAAATATATATATGAAATAATTTGAGAAAAAAATCTTCAAATAATTTGCCCAAAACATTTTGGCTCGTAGAAATGAAAATTTGTATCTGTTTGTTATTATTTATATAGAAACTGAATTATATTAGAAACTAGTGGAGCGCATGGCATCGTGCCTTAAGGCAAATTGCTGGAACTTCCCGTAACAATTTTTTTTTCAAAAGATTAACATTTTTGAAAAAAAATTACTTCGAAAAAATTGAATTTTTGAGAAACTATAAAATTTAAAAAAAAAAAGATTTTTTGAACAAAAATGTTTTCTTTATTTTGAAATATTTTGGAAATTCTGAACTTTTTTCAAAGCAATCGTACTGCTTCAACTGCATAGAGAGAAAACATTGAAGCGCGTAAGCGCCGCGTCGCCGTTTAACGGGTAAACATTTGTACGGAACCCATAGAAATGTAAAGAAAATTTATACTTATTGTTGAAATCTCTATAAAATATCTGATAATTTGATGTGCATATGTCTAAGGATCATTTTTGAGCGGCAAATAGCATTTTTTTTACTTTTTTCACCAGATCTCCGAAACCGCTAGCTGCCTTCATGAAACTTTGATCAAATCTTCATCTTATCAGTGCAAGTAAAATATTTTTTCAATTATTCAAGATTGTTGTTTTAAAGTTAAATGTTAAATTATTCACGAATTTTAAATTGTCCAAAAAGTAGTAAAAGATGCAAAGAAAAGAAATTATATATTTCTTGATATTGAAAAAACTATAATGTAAGTTTTATATCCGAATCTCGACCGGCCCTATCTTATCTATTTGTTTCTTGTTATTGTAAATGTATTTCTGCTGGAATTGTTTATTGGACAATTTTAATACAACAATATTACTTCTTTCTAACACAAGTCCTTCATTCTACTTATGGGTGCTTTTAGTTCGTCTTAAGATCTTAATCTTAACATAGTATCATCTGGTCGTCCATCGGCTTTCATATATGCACATAAATATAGTTATGTATTATACGGCCGGTCTGTTTATTTTCAAATAGATGGATTTTATAACCACTTGCAAATATCATGAACATATTGTATGAATACAATGTAGGGTTTTATCGTTATTGTCAATTCTTCGATAAGTAGCTTATTTATTTTTATCTTTATAAGACCAGAAATTGATCACCTCTATTATATTTTATTTACTGATGAAGCATTTACTTAATCTTCAGTGGTAATGTACAGGTGAGCTATAAAAAATATCTAAGCTGAGTTTTTCAATTTTCAAAAAGCGGTTATTATAATGACCATTTTGGACCGCCAAATGGCATTTTTTTTACTTTTTTCACTAGATCTCCAAAACCGCTAGACCTGCCTTCATGAAAATTCAATCAGTTCTTCATTTTGTCAATACAAGTAAAATGTTTTTTGAATTACTAAAATCGGACGCTCCGTTCTTTTAAAAACTGAGTTACCGTTTTTGGCACTTCTTGCCCCGTATCTTCGAAACGGCTAGACCTGCCTATGCCAAAAACTAATCAGCACGTGTCCTTATCAACAGCAATCGAATGTTTTTTTAATGATTAAAATCGGTTGAACCGTGTTCCCGAAATCGTCGACGAAAATTTGAATCCGCACACACACATGCACACATTCACAGATACACATACATCCATTTCAGGTTCAGAAACGTCTGAAACGTAAAGATATATAAAAAAATTCTTTTTCGGTTTTTTAGCGATTACTATAAGTTATCCTACGGGAAGTTAATAAGTAAAATGTTAATAAGTAATACAGTAAAATATTTCAAAAGCCAAATACTAATATTACACATGCGTTAGAAATAATTGAAAATTTTAAAATATTCTTAAGAATAACATCTAATTATAAATAAATGTATGTAGTATTGAAATGCAATTAATTTTTGTATATATTACATTATAGTTGAACTTGCCTTATATAATTTTGCATATTTTACTATCCGTGTAGTAGATCCTTATCCTTATCAGAGTAGCCTGGCGATATGACATTTTGTACAACCATGTTCCTGTCAAACATTATCACTTATTTCTTATTAATATTCATCAGCATACTGATAATAATAACTATAATTATTATTGCACATGGAATTCAAGCCTAGGAGGATTTATTGATTAGACTTTAATATAAAGATCTTTATGACGATTAAATACACTATTATATAAAGCAAAAAAAATCTTTTGTCACTTTAAGTAAGTTTGATCCCCAAAATGTCGGCGAAACTAAATAAGGAACTCAATTTCGTTAAACTTCAATTGAAGTTTAGCAGGCTGGGCAACTGCTTAAAAGTGTGTTTCGGCACTTTTCTATAAGTTGACAATTCTGACGCTCTCATCATTCGTCAACAAAAACAAAAGAATACAAAAGTCAAATCAACAAAATTGTCCCCTGTCTGATTTTAATTATTTTAGAAAAATTAAAAAAAAAATAATAATGCCAACAAAAATGGGAGATGCTCTACTAGCTGACGAGGAGGTGAATTTAATTACTTTAATCATTTTTTAATTCGTTATTTTCCCCATATTGTTAATTTTAGGAACAACAAGTGAAACAATTAAAACGACGTTTGGAAGGTTGGCGTGAGATGGTTATATTGATAAATTCGATATTAATTTGGAAAAAGAAATGGTACCCAGGGTTAATTGTAGGAATTACCTCTACCTTATTTATAATTCTGTATACTGCAAATCCTTCAGTTCTAACAACTGTTGCTATTTGTGGATTAGCATTAACGTTATTTGATTATTTTGTACCTTTGATATCATCAACTATGTGCCCATCGGACTCTTGGACAACCAACAAAGAGAAACAACTGGATTTGATATGCCAAGAAATTGTCACAGTATATAACAAGACAATTCGCACCATAGTAGCATTGAATAAAATGAGAAATGCTAAACCCATTGCTGTAAGTGATAATTGATTAAACTTTGCATGATTGTCTTGTGTATTAAAATCACTGTTTCTTCTATTTTAGTATTATAGCGTTGTCATAGTTGCGTGTGTCTCAATGGCTTGGATTGGGAATCTGATCAATAATCTCTTTTTGACATATGTTCTATTAACTAGTGCATTATTGTTTCCTGGAATCAAAGCAAATGGCACTATGACAAAATACTCAAATCACATGATGTCCTATGCCCAAAACTCATTTAATCAAAGACTACATTCCAGGGTCGATAAGAAGGATTAATACTATAAATAGGATACATTCTTAAAATTTGATACATGCGCCCTCTAGTTTAATATTTATTTTACATTGTGATATTTATTTATTTATTGGTCATGTACTTATTTTGAAATTTTTTTACTGGTATTATCTAAATATATATGAATGTACATATATATTTGAATCAAAATATTTTTTTTTTAAATTTGTTATTCATATTTTCTTGATTTATAATTGCTTGATATATTGCAAGCCCCATGAAATCCTTTATATTTAATAAATATGTTATTCATATTAAAATTAACATGTACATTACATTTAAAGCTGAAAATACTTTAAGCTCTATTCAGTCATTATTTAGTATGTTCTTGCCATTATATAGTATTTTTTAAACTAATAAGCAATGTGATATTTTGTTTTTGTGTTAAAATACAATTTTAAAATAATTATACAAGTTTTTGACTTGAAAGCATATTTTTTAATGTCAGTACCTCATTTTTTCAATGTTCAATTAGATTTTTAGTAATTTGTTGCACCAATAAGTAATAATAGTGTATATATTATAATAACTGAATATTTTAGATGCTTATGTCAAATTTATTGGAATGTTTACACTTCTTACTCTTTTTTGCAATCTTTAATATTTATTTTTTTAACTAGAACAATTTTTTAAATCATTATCAACAATTTAAATATAATGAAAGTAATTTTATATATATTACCCAATATATACTATTAATATTTTCTGTTTTACAGAAATATTTATATAATCTATTTGTTTATAATATTAGATCTTGATACGATACCCCTTCTGCATCAGCCCCATCTTTTCGTGATTGCAAATGGCATAAAGTATTATTGAAATGCTTGTTGATCTGTTCCGTTTCCTCTGATACTTCCAAGCTTGGTAATTCTTCTCGAATCTTTGCTATGACCTTATGAATATATGTAAACATAAAAATAAAGTTGGTAATTAAAATATTAAAATTACATACTTGATTCAGCATTGCCACTGTAATATGATCGTTGCCTTTCTCATAGAAAAATATGTAATGATTTAATAATTCAACAAGAAGTTGTGCTTGAACTGCACTATCCATGCACTGACTTGATATTCTCACGCTTTTCTTCAAACATTCCAAAACACGTTTACCATCTCTTATTTCAACGTTTGCACATCTTAAATAATAAATTGATACACTTAATAAACAAACTATTTTTTATACAAACATTTTCATAGCATAAAACAATGAATTACCTTCCAGACCAGAATAGATGAGAACATAATGCAACAGCTCTGCATTGATCAGGTTTTTTCAACAATTTACTGGCAGCTAAAGCACATTGAGTCCGAAGTGGTTCAGAGTTATCATCACCAAAACAATCAATTTGCTCTAAGCTACTCATTATTAATGTTATTGCAGCCAATTGAGCTTTGGAATCAGAGATTTCCTCCTCATATAAAGAAAAGGCCTGTGCAAAAAATATAAGAGATTAAATCAAGTTATTAGAAGAAAAGGCCTATGATGAAAAAATTAAATTAAAAATTGCACAATCATTTCTAGTTTTTACTTACTTGGGACATAAACTCATACGCAACTGATTCATGGTTTGAAAACTTAACTTGACTTATGCACAAAGCTCCCTGTAAATACAGTCTTAATGAAAGTTCTGGATATTCAGCCCTTGCTAATGCTGCTATTGTCCCATGGCAAAATTGTAGAATTTTCTGGCACTTCTTATCCCACATAGAATCCTAAGAAAACATTTGTTAATAAAACTTCCAAGATAGTTTCAAGATACACATAATTTTGTGTACATACTTCGTCTTTAATGGTTTTGTATTTATTTGCTAATTGATAAGCTTGGAACACAAGTGGTGGCAGTACATGTTTAACACGTTTTGGTCCTCCTGTTCCAAAATGTTTTCTAGCAGTTGATATTATTAAATATTGTTGATCTGGTTGTTCACATTTCAACAGATGTACAAATCTAAATTGAATTTAATTATTTGAAATATAGTGATATTACATTACAGTGTAATATTAAATTATTACCTTGCCATTAAGCCTTGCTCTTCAGCAAAATCTTCTGGATCTTCATCAGCTGGTGATTGATTTTCCTGGTCTTTAATTAAAGGTGCTAATATATTTAATATAGCATCAGCCTGAGATAAATAATATAAATGTATAATATTATTACAACAATTCTTGTTACTTATTACTATACCTGCTCAGGTGTAGGTATTAATGTTTCGTTATCTAAGGCATTAGTAATAATATAAACGGCCATAGTTTTTCTTGATACAAAATCAAACTTTTCCATGAGCTTTGAGAAATTATTCAATTTCAATAATGTCAATATATCATTATAATGATCTATTGGTATTCTCAACAATCTTGACAATTCTCGACAAACTGGACTGTTATTCTCAATGCTGTAAAATATTATGATTTATTTGAAACAATGTGGTTTAATGAGGTAGAAACATTATAAAAAACTACCTTTCCAAGTTCAGTCTGTCCAAAATGTCACTTGTAGTTTCTAAAACTTTATCAACAAAGTCAACTCTATCAGGATAAACACGGTTTGCTAATGCAACTAGTGCTACTTGTAAAGAAACTGTATCCTGTGGAGGCATGTCCTGACGAGCCTATAATTTACATATTCTTATTAATTATCATCCTTTTAAATAAAATGAAGTTAAATAAGTATGTATAGTAGAATATATATTGTTTGATACCTGCACTATGCTGGATACTTGATCATTAAAAACATCAAATAACTGAACATCTTCAGGAATAGCAACAGTTCCATCAATAGCTCCATCAGACAAAGCTGATCTTTGTGCAAATGCAGCTAATCTTTCAATCAATGCAATTATGATATTTTTAACATTAACACCACTTTGTAGTTGGGCACAAGATTTTAGAAATGGATCTAGTGTTTGTAGATGAAATTCATCTGGAAACACCTATAACTCACAGATAATTAATTTGATTCTCAATTATGCTTAAAAAAAAGTTCATAAACCTATTCAGTGTTTTTACCTGTATAATGCATTCCATTAAATACTCTTGTGCAATGGCATCTCTGCAGCTTACAACTTGTTCTAATATTCCAGGCAGTATTAACTAAAAAAGGACAATTTAATAAATGCACTGAATGTACTGTATATATCTATCTAAACAAAAATTTTATATTACAAAATTACTTTTTTGTATGTATCTAATGTGGCAGATTCTAATTGGGATAGTCTAACAAGATTTGTTCCAACTAAGATTCTAAGTTCTTCCCTCTCCTTTTCTCGTCTCTGTTTTTCACTTGAATGTCCTTAAGCAATAATATTTAATTAAATATGCACTTCATAAAATAGAAATTGACACATTTTTGATTTACCTAAATGTTGCATTCGAACCCACAGTTTATTCATCTCAGCAAAATTCATCAACACAAAATCTACAGCATCTTTCACCTAAGAATAGAATTCAATTGATAATACATACTTTTCAAACTTTTAATCTTTTATGCTTACAGTTCCCTCAGCATCATCTGTAGCAACACTAACATCAGGTAAAATGTTTCGTGTACATTGCAATAAATAATTCCTCAAAAACAATCCTCGCAATGGATGCTGCACTCCCCTGCACATTTCTACCAAGTCCTATGAATAAATATAAATTTGAATATCAATTTAATGTAAAATCAATTTCATTTTTAGCATACTTTTAATAAATCTCTTTTTAAGCAAGAGTTTGTTTTTATGTATACTAATCCCACAGTGATTAGTAGATATAATCTGGGCACAATATTTCCAGCATATTGTACCAACTCATATAAATCATCAACTTTGCGTTCTTTTTGAAACTCATCCAGTAGATATATTTCTAAGTGTCTTAATTCATCAGTAACAGCCATATCTTGAAAAAACAATCGAGCATGAGAAAAATTCATTACTATTATAATATACATCACTATTATTTCATTTTCTTACTCACATAACTCATAATAACTTTTTGGTGACAATAAACTAGTTCTTAGTTCTACTAACATAGTGCTGGCATGTTTGAGAGCATCCATAAGTTTTGATTTGTCGAGACATCTTTTCATATTAAAAGCCTGTGCCCGCACAGCACCAATGGCCTCTCCTAAGAGCTTGTCCTGATCATCAGGAGATCCAACAGGTGTTATTGGCTAAAATAAATTATCTTAATCTAGATTCCGTGCAGATAAATCAAACAGGTAAACATGATACATAAGGTTTATTGAAAGAAAATGATGCATAGCTAACTCTTTGAGCAAAACTGAGTTACACTCCGGATGATGCATAGTTATCAAACATACCTCAAACAAAATAATGCAGTTGGTTTAAAAAAAAATTTAGTTTATGTTATATAGAAACTTTGTAATTACTAAATTTGTGCAAGGGGGCTTTTCAGCCAGTTATTGCTAGGCAAGGATAAATCAAAGTATCTAGGTATATAGTTCAAACAAGAGAAAACATTAAAAAAAAAATTGAATATAGTAAGGTTTTACGTTGTTACCATTCTCTGATTTGTCCGATACGTCGATGCATTCCAAACATACATTTCAATTAGTGATTAATCATCCATGTATACAACTGACATAATATCTATTACTTACCATCTTATATCAGATAACAAATCAAATGATAAACTAAAGGTGGGGAGGAAAACTTTGGGACACAAACCACAAACCCTCGAAACGAACTGACACATCACATTGTCAAAAATTGACAAGAGAGGCAAGACCAGAATCTACTAATTTGACATTTGAGCGGTGTGAAGGTAGCTAAATGTAACACAACAAAAATAGACTAGGAATTTATCCATTAATATTATTGTATCTAGGATGATTCCATTTTTGAACTGTCAAACGTTTGACTGTAGTTCCTCACGATTTGTGAACAGTTTTGCGTAGAGGCGCTGCAAGCGCCATACTTCATAAGGTACGGCGGGATTTTTAAATCTTTCAAATTTGGGGAAATATATGTCATTAATAATATAGGTTTATAAAAGTATGTATTATTATATGAAACACTTTCTAATCATTTAATAAAGACATCACCTGAAAAAGGTATTATAAAATAAAAACACCTTTCATTTAATGTTAAGATTATATTAAATGTTGCTGTAAAATGTATTATAAATCAAAACATGATGTAATTAAATAGGAGCCTGAGCTTGTACCAATTTTGTAAGCATATTCTTCATTTTCAACTCAACACTTGCTAAAATCTTACAGTAAACATTTCTTTATATCTAACAATTTTTTTCATTTCTATTATAATTTATAGAACAATAAATGATAAAACCCTCATGCTTAACTTCGCTCTTCTGTAATAAATTGCCCATGATATAGAAAATTTTCCCAATATTTTTTTATTTAATAATTGTGCAGATTTTATAGAACAAAAATAATGATTGTTAGGGCTATAATTTGTAATGGATTAGATATGTACATATATTATCCATTAGTTTGAATATGTGCTAGATGAAAGTAACCACATAGAATATGCTTATGTATATAATTATATACATATCATATAATACAAATATGATTATGAAAACCCATAACAATAAAATTACACATGCTACCTAAGTATACACTTGCACATAAAGTCATTACCAATTAACACATCGCAAATAACTTTATCATTAAAACACTTACTAATTTATATCTTTATCAAATTTAAATATATTTATATCAAGTTATAAGCAATTTGGGTGATATATGAAAAGAATAAATTAAACCATTAATTGCACATTTTTAAAATAACAATTATGTTTGCTTATACAGTAAGAGCATACATGTAACAGATGACCATTTTATTTTGTTTTGCAAGCTCTCAGCGCATCATATAAATATATTTAAATAAACTCAAACTCCATCTTATCTAATAAGTACTAAATATATATTAGCGCATTCACAAATACCTCTGAAACAAAAACACATATCTATCACAATTCTTTTAGAAATTTATTAAAAATGTATTTGTGATTGAATATTTGATTATCAATAGAAGAATAAAATGGCCTATATTGTAATAAATAAAAAAAGATATAAGCATCCTTACAAAATCTCATTTATACAATCCATACACTTATAATTAATAATTTTTATTAAATCTATATACACTTTAACAATCACTCAAGCTAATTGTCTGTAGCAAATGTGTAAGTAGAAGAAACCTGAAATATTTCAAAACAAATCGATCACATCAAAAACTGATTTCTAAAGCGTTCACATTGAAAGTGTTTTCCAAATTTATTTTAAAATTATCAAATAGACAATGTCTTTCACGATTTATACAGTTTTATGTAGTAGTCTAATAATATAGCTATGAATACTGTAATTTTCAACTACCGAAGTGACGTAATGCATTTGTTTAAAACAATGTTTTTATCATCGAATTATTATAGGTGAAAATCATTATGATTAATTACATCCTGCAATATAACATAGGCGCTCTTTGACACAAATGCGTACAAGTATCTAACATGTATTCTATGTACAAACTATCAATAATATAGAAATAATTGTTCTATTACATATATAAATTACTCAACTTGCTGTTTTCTTTTCCAATGAAATGAGATTTTATAAATCACTTCGATTTTAGGCTCCGATACAGCATAGCTATGAAATTCACACAGTTTCCTGTGATTCATTATCAGACGAGCCAAAATCTTTCACAGGCAGTCACAGTTTCAACTCGTGGGCAATTTTTGATGCAATATTTTTAAAGCCAATACTGGTGCCTAGAAATAAAATACATACTTATTAAATATAATTATATTTAATAGACTAAAGAAATAAATAACATAACATAACTAGGTGTAGATAGTATAAGCATGTACTTCCTAATATGTTTAAATAACCAAATTAACAAGAAGAAATAAAATTTCGCTAATTAGATATATTTTTTACAGATCTCAACTGATTTTTAATTTAATTACAGGTCTATGATTTTTCAATATGATAATTGATTTTCATAGATTTCAATTACTTTTTTTACTTTAAGATTGCAATAAATTTTTGAAGATCTTAAGGGATTTTTAAAAGATTATTAATAAATTTTATTATCATGGTAATAAAATTGGAGTTTCATGATCTGTATTGATTTCTCAGGATTTCTATTAATTTTGAAAGACCTTAATTAAATTCATCAATTATTATGTCAACTTTTCAATATCTTGATTGGCTTTGAATACATACATTTCAGAGTCAAACAATTTATAATGATGAGAAAAGTTCAATAAACACAAAATCTTCTGTTTTGGAAATTTAAGTTTTAAATTAACTTACCAGAAATGCGTTTGAATCGAACTCCATTCAAGGAAAGTCTTGGCAATTTGCAGACTTCTATTTCCCATTGTACTAAACTGTCCGTGATAGGATCTCCGTGGACACAAAGTAGTAAAAACCTAAAATATAAATAGATATATTTATATGAAAGAATATAAATTTTAAAAATAGCACATAAAAATGTAATTCATTATATTTGGTTCTGAATAGTAATATTTAATATAGTTGATCAACATCTAATTAATTGATTGATTGAAATAAATTGACAAATATCTAATTAAAATAATTAAATAAATATAGAATATTCTCAAATTAGAGTCTTCTTGCCATCATTAGTATTAAGATTCTCTTATTAAAACTACCTATAAATATTCGACTTCTTCTTATTAATTTGACTAAAAAGAAGTTTGATCTTGTAACTACTTTATACATATTTAAAGGCATATAAATACAAATTAATAATTTAACTTCGCCTCATTTTAGAAAATTAAGTGACCTTAAACTCCTTCATGTAATCATTAGTGATATTTATGTATAAATGATTTATAATAATACTTGCCTTTCACGTTGTTCATAATCGCATCCATTGGCATCCAAAACTTTTCGAATTTCAGACATTATCTCATTGGGGTCCCTACTGCTTGTGGTCTTCATGGACCATGTGAACCTCAAGGACCTCGGTTTGACCTGGTCATCCTGCATTGTGCCACCTCCGCCGCTGTAATTATAACAGATTAATATAAATATCCTTGTCTCTTTTTGAAATAAATGAATCAGGCTGAAATCCTAGGTAGTCTGCAAACAATCTGCAAGAATTACAGACAATCTACAAATCCCACAATTTGTAGGTTTTCCGAAATCAATGTAGATAAATAAAAAGTTGTAGATTATCTAAAATCATTGTAGATTGTCTGAAATCGCTGTAGAATGTCTGAAGGTTTTGCTGATTGTATGTAATCGTTGTAGAGATTATCTGAAATTATTGTAGTTTGTCTAAAGGTTTTGTAGATTGTCTCAAGATGTTGTCTAAATATATTGAAGGTTATCTAGAAATATTATTACAGATGGTCTACAAATGTTGCAGATTGTCTAAAACTGTTCCAATTATTAGTCTGTATTCAAAACTTAAAAAAAAAAACAATATCATTAATTCCTTTTTTGTACTTTGTGGTAGTTTCCTCAATAATAAATTTCCTCAGTATTTACTATTTATTTAAGGAACTATTTATTTATTACCTGTCTCAGAATTTAAACAATAAAAAAACCCAAAACTGAAAAAGTTCAGAATTATATCAGAAGACCATGAACATTGCCTTTTTATCATGCACATGTGCATTCTGGTAAAAAATGTTCCTGTACATGATTATGTGTAGAAATGTATTGTGACAAGCAGAAAATATAACCGAACACAATATTAATAAATCAACAAATAAATTAATATGAACATAAGACTAAATTAAAAACTAAAATGTTGATAATTACCTAACTAAAGCGTTAGTTACAGGTGTGACTGGTTTTGAACCGGGCGAATCCATCGGTCTAGAAAAATAAGAATCAACACAATGATAAACATAAAATATGATAATGGAAAATAAATATGATAAAATAAATCGATATGAACACTAAATTGTTAATAAAGTAGCTGATGGTGATAGAAGTTAGTTTAAATAAATTTAAAGATGAAAGAAAAATATGAGACGAAAGCTAAACCTGCGTCCATAAAAGCAAATGCGTAAAATAGATACTTAAGTAGTAAAATGATAAAATTTCACTTAAAACTAGTAGAATAATAAAACCATACTTAAGACTAACAAAAAAAATACCATGAATAAGTCTTATATCAAATTTAAATCCATTGCTACATAACTTAAAAATATATAAAATTATTGAGAATATTTTAAGGTCCATTTGGTTCATACTTTTAACGAATGACAAAACCATTATTTTCTTTACAAGACTTTGTTTTCACAAAATCTTAGATAAAACTTAAAACTAGAATTTAAAATATGTGAAATAATTTTTGTGTTGCATAATAAGTAAAATAAATTAATAGTTTAAATTCAAAAAAAAATTATTCAAACTCAATTTAATATTATTAAATTTTATGGTTAAGTGAAAATGTGAATAAACATTTCTAATAATGTGTCATTAAAACACAGTTAACTGTATTGGTTTTTATTCTGTAGAAAATATTGTTATAAGAATACAATTAAAGAAAAATATTAATACAAGTATTTGGTTTTAAAATTTTTATAAATATAAATATTATTGGTTAAATATTATATTGCAGCTTATTTAAAATATTAAAAGTGCTTTGAATGTAAAAAGAAAACTAAATAAAATATATATCTAAATATCGAATTGCACCACTGTCTATGCCTAACACAATTTTAGAAAAATATAGTATTTTTAGACATATGAAAAATTAAAAATATAATGAACCGAAACGTATCAAAATATAAGTCTTTTTGGCAATACAAATGTTTTAAAAAAATATATATGTCGTTCGAATATTTGCAGTTAAAATAATTTTAATGTGCCCAAATGGTTTTGATATCTGTAATTATTAAAATAATTTATAGATTTACAAAAAGTGGATAAATTGTACATTTTAAGCTGTGATAGGACATAAAATATATTTATAATATAGCAGTAAAAAATGCAAAATTAATCAAAAATCCAAAATCATTTGGACACGTGGGACAGCTTTTCTCATACATGAATATGCATATATATATATATATAATATATATATATATATATATATATATATATATATATATATGATGGTCTGGAAAGCTAATACTATTTATGATTTTGTTTTTCTAACCTTAACAACCTCTTTTTCAAAATTTGTTTATTCGATTTGAATTTTGTTGAGGACATCTCTTCTTCAGAAACTGTTTTTGTTTTAACAGTTTCTGAAGAAGGAGACCTTCCACATACCCAAAACGTTGTAATATGTAAATTAAAGAAAATTTTCAAAAAAGAGGCGTTCAGAAAAATAAAATCATTTATATATTTGTATTTTGACTATACAAATCTTTGCGTTTGGTAAATATTTTACACTATTTATAACTAATACATATACATAACTATTATTATATAATTAATACTTAATAAATTTATTATTTTAATTATAGCCAAAATAATTGGCAAAATCACAAATTTTTCAGTTGAACTAGTCATTTGATATAATCTAAAACTGTGCAAGATTTTTTTTTAATTTCATGCAACAAGTATATATTTATTAAAAAAAATCCACACAGTTTTAATACTTTAGCATTATTAAGAAACAAATGTAAATTTCCTTTCAATGCGTCCAAATTATGTATAAACATTGCAAAAAACAGTCACTACTGATTTAATAAAAATTTAATAAATTTATATAGATAGGTATCATAAAATGATACACACAATCCCGCTATATAAATTTAACATTAATATCTTTCATTCATAATATATATATGAATCCGTAATTACAATTTTTAAAATCAAAATAGTTTTTAAAAAACCTATCATCTAATATCTAAAAACATTTTCCGTGAAAATTATCCGGGTCCAGTGTACAATTTTCATGGATTCGTCCTACAAGAAAATCGGAAAATTTATTATTTTTGGAATCCAAGAACGAAACATGAATTTCAGGTGTTAAAAAAAATGCACAATATATTCTGACGATTTCATTCGATACGATTTATTTTTTTAAAAAATGCAGCAGGATTGTAAAAACCTATTTTTATGAAGAAATTTACATTTGTCTCTCGAAAAATGATGAAAATTTCGAAGATAATAGTTATGTACGTGTAACGTTTATTTCACAATAAATACTGACAATGTCGATACAAGTTTCTACAAAAAAATAAAGAACAAATATTTTTGAATAAAATGCACAATGAATAATAACACATAGATGCAAAATTACGCCATTGATTTATTTTTAAATGACAAAAATGAATGATTTTTTTTTCAATAAAATGCACTGAGACAACACGAGGTAAAAGACATTAAGCATTTTGAATTTCTTTTAATTTCCAAACATTATTTAACAAATAATATTAATTAACACACTAGCGTTATATTTTCAATGTGATCAAACGTAAAATTCTTTCACAATTTATGGAATTTGATAACAACAATAATAATTTTATGAATATGACAAATAATGATTTAAAAACATTTACTATAGTGGACACTTTAAGATGATCAATGATTAATGTTATTGTTGGTTAAAAAAGATACATATTAGATCGTTCGAGATCAGAATATTCATTGTGCATTTTTAGTGTAAAACAATACACATTTAAAAAAATAAGTTAAAACTAGTGATAAAAACTCATTCCATAAGAGTCATTACAAATAAGCAAAATCAATCATGCATCGGTTAAAAAAGCCATGTGCCAAGAATTTACATCAGAAATATAAATATCACCACTAATTTCTCCTAAGGGAAATTTAAGTTTTGCCTTAAAATCTGATTTCCCAATGGCAATTTCAACGATTTGAACAATTTAAAAGACTCGACAAGTACTCGTCTTGATTGGTTTTGTATGATAATCGGTCGAGCCGTTTCTTTACAATTAGCAGAAAAGTGCAACGGTTTTCATTGACATTTTTTCCAAAACTCCTGTACCAATTTTAAAAATTCAAAAACTATCACATTGGAATCGTGCTGATGGGGTAAAGATCGGCTGAGCCGTTTCTTTGTAATTAAATGATGAAAAATATTGACAATTTTAATAAGTACGGTGTTAATTATTATTTGAAAAAAAAAATAGGATAATTTCGCATATTTTCTTTATTGCTTTTGGAAAAATTTACCTATTTTTATCATTGCTCGAAAAAATTTATGACAATTCGCATACTTTACTTATTTTTATATTATTTATTTTATCATTAACAATTTATGAGGAAATTTAGGCAATTTTAGACAATTTGCATACTTTCCCTATCTTTAACAGATTATGGGGAAATTTAGGCAATTATATGCAATTTGCATACTTTACCTATCTTTAACAATTTACGAGGAAATTTAGACAAATTCCCTATTTTTTACCAGAGGCTCAATTACAAAAAAAGTTCTGAATAATGAACACTTTTAGGACTATAATTAATACAATTACAAAGTGCTACAATTAATACAATTACAAAGTTAGACTTTCAGACCTAAATCTCAATTTGTATTCATTAAGTCGATTATTTTCCGGATCGGATTCACGTAACTTGCCTTAAGGCGAAATGCCACTTACATCTAGTTTTCATGACGTATATAGACACTAATTTTTTTTTTAATTCCATAAAGTATATTTACATTTTTGTATAAAATTCTTGGCATGTGTTAGCTTTTTCGTTTTCCATGAAAACACAGTTTCAGAATAGTTATTCTACAAAAATAAGTTATTGAAAAATAGTTATTAATTGTTTAACAAAATATAGGAGTTATAATCGTGCTCAGTGTTGTATTAATAATTTTGTTCGTCATGCAACAATTATTATTTAAAAAAAATGTTTAAATAAAAAATAAAATTAACTTATTTTATATTTTTTCTAGTTAGTAAAAGCAGGATGCATGAATAAGCGCTAAGTTAACTGAACAAAGTACCTAATACCAGACTAGATATTTTTATTCAAAAATGTGTATTAAACTACAATGAAAAAATAAATGAAATAAATAAAAAAAACTCACCGTTTTGAAAATCTGGATGATATTTTACTAAAGAATGACGGCCTTGTAGAATGTTGGGAATCTACGGGTCCCCCGTAGCCCATGTTTGATCTCTGGCGAGTTTGACCTTAAAATGAAAAATAGATATATTAATTAATTGTATTAATATTATTAATAGACGTTAAGTTACACAACTTTGGAAATACCCCATGTTCAGAATATCAAAAATAATAAATGAATTTGCTTCTGAGATTGATATCTTTGGTCTGTCAGTGATAAATATAAAAAAACAAGCCAGAAAAATTATCCTTAAAAGACTGTCTTAAGTAATGATTTATAGCTTATTAAATGTTTAATTTTATTAGTTTTTATTTATTGCTATTTATTTGTGGTTTATATTATGTATATATACAAAGTTTATTTATGTATATATACAAAGCTATCTATGAACTCTTAACACTCTAATTTTCTCACATATTATCTCTTTAGTTTATAATTTGTACACTATGTACAAAATGTAACTATATTGTATTATTACCTTGGGCGTTGAATAAATAAATAAATAAATAAATAAATAAATAAATATAAAATTATTATTTACCTGAGTGGAATGTAGATCTTGATGGAACATTCCTTGGGAAAGCAACTGGCTCTCTTGTCGTATTTGGTCTAGGTGTGAGACTTGTGCGATTAACCATGCTGAAAAATTGTAAAAAAAATAAATAAATAGTTCAGACTTAAACATAATAAGTATATAAATATTAATATTTATATTTATTGATTACACTCTACCAATTATATAAATTTCTACTTCGTAATCCATATTTAATCAAAGCATAAAACGATTAATAAAGCATAAATATTAATAAAGCATAAATGCAATAAAATCACTAATTTAAATTGCATGCATATTATGTTAAAATAAAAAGCTATAATGAACTAAACTATAATGATAAAGCAACTACTAAAACATTAATACTAACAATAAGTAACAAAAATTACCTGGGCTACTGCGAAACTATAGAAAATGATTTGGGAAAAATTTCAAAAAATTATAACAAAAAAATAAAATGTATATAAAAATATAAATTGGAGTGTCTGGACTGGAGTCTACGAAGCTAAACGATAATGATGAAATCATATGTTTTTAATTTTTGACAATGATTAAAATTAGATTACAAATTACATATGAATGTGTGAATAAATTTTCCACTATCATGAGTTATCCATTAATTTGTGATTTTGTATTATTTAAATTTATTAAAACAATATGAATCTTCTGATTGGAAAAATTACAATTTAAGTTTTAGGAAAACAACTCGAGTAACCAATGGATGACCCTTGGTGAGTACATTATAAGCTGCATAAGTGTTTAAGTAGATCATTTTATTGGTTTGGTATTTTTAATGTAATGGAGTGAAAGTCTATTATCTCTTAAACACTTTCAGCTTTATTCCCTGATTTTCTTTTAATTCTACCTCTGCTGCCTGAGCGGATCCGCCGTCTGGTTGCTATTGTTGTCTGATGTTCCTGCACTACTGACGGAGGCGGATTTCACATGACCCTTTCCTGACCCGGTGCGAATGAAATCACCGCCACCACTGGCAAAACTGATGTTTCGACAGTTCATGGTACATTTTGAGGCGGATTTTGGATGATATTTTTTGTTATTTTGGTAAATTTTTGTGGTAATGCGCACACGTAAATATGGAAGTAGCAGTCGGGCGTGGCGATAGAAGCGAAAGGAAGCAAGCAAAACGAAATTTTTAAATGTTAGTTGATTGTTATAGATCGTAGAAATTAATTTATTTTAATATAAATGAATTGATATGTATTCTGCTAAAGCCATAATTTAATAAACTGTTCAAACAGTCTTAAGCTATTCTTCATGTGGATGAAACAAATATCCAAGCAATTTTATACCAATTCATTTATATTTTTATTTATGGACTCATAAATCCACTATATATATAAATATATATTCTTAACCTGCAAAAACAATTATTTATTACCATAACCTGGCAGACTGAATTTAAATCTAAAATATTTCAAACATTATTAAAATTTAATTACAAATGCACTATGCCTAATTGATACAATCATGCTATCAATTGATTAAATTGCATAATGCTTGCAGAAATTGTTTCTTGCATGCTGATTACAATATTCTAACACCATTTTATAATTAACGAATTAAATTTTTATATAATTATCAAAAACTAAGAGTATTTAATTACAATTTATATGATAGTAATTATTAGATAACTAAGTCATTAGCAAATAGAGACGTCTATAAGTCCAAAACGTTTTTCTGATAAAAAATTATAAACCAATTCAATTTTTATTATCATCATCTCAATGCTGAATATTTAAACAAACAGTAATTTTTCAAAGCGGTTCTTTACTAAAAGCAACTGTTAATCAAAATAATAACAATTTTACATACTTGTTGTCATTGATCTGTGTGGCGTTCGTCTTCTCTGTGCTTCCTGAGCCTGATTTGGAGTCATAGCTGATGGTCGATCTGCGTCCAACGGATCCACCAGTCGCCAAAGATCTTTGGCCGCTCATTGTGTTCGATTTCGTGACACCACGAGGTTTACCAGGACTGGAAGTATCTGGAAATGGATAAAATATAACGTTAGTAAAAACAAACATTTAAACAATTCATGAAAATAGGAATGGAAAGGGGCTTTGAATGAAAAAAGTTGAATAAAATTTGAACTTTAGTTTAAAAATGAGTATGATAGATGTATTTTGAAGTAGCAATAGTTCAAAATAAGTCATTTATTACGGATGCATGACACAACCTTCTTCTACAAACAAATTACTTGAGTCAATTGCAGATGAATTCGTCTTAGGCTGCGCGCTTGTTGGCCGATTATTTTGAGCTTGAAGTCGCGCAGTGTTTTCCTTGATACTTGCTGAATCAATTGTATTTTGTCGTTTGAAATTCGATGCTGTCACAGCACTACTGTTAGTAACTCCGCCGCCACTGTGATTACTGTGGTTGTTCCCGGACGCCACTGATGTCGGGACACCCCCTGAGAAAAAATAATTAAAAAAATTATGAAACTTTTTTAGCAATGTACAATTACAAAAATAACAGTACAAAAGCTAACAAATTTGGAAAAATGTTAAAACAGCAGTACAAACTCGATTATAAACATATAAGTGATATTAATATCTTGTTTTTTTGTTAGTAACTATTTTACAAACATCAACTAAGCATTTTCTACGTTTTTGTACCAATATATGAAAAAATCAATGTATTCAACTGATTCACTACGAACGATAAAACGCTGATAACAGTTTTTTTATACAATTACCGAGCAATGTTTTTTACAATACGTGATTGTTTTTATCAATTTGTCAAACTACTTTTTAAATACTTTCAGTTAAATTAATATCAGCCATATCAGTATAAATTCGATTTTAAACACAACTGATAATAATAAACTGCCCTTTTATTAGTAATTGATATTAACTATCGAATAATTTTTTTTATTAAGGGAGCGTCCATTAATTACGTGAGGGATTTAGGGGGAGGGGGGTTTGACAAAAAATGACAAAATATCACGTCGGGGAGGGAGGGGTGTAGTAAGATATTACGTATATTTAATTTTTATTTGAAATTAAAAAAATTTTTTTTTCTTGTAACGAAAAATACACGTGATGTTTGCAGCGGGAAGGGGGGTTAATTTTGAATGTCACCACGTATCACCAAGGGGAAGGGGGGGGGTCCAAAATTCCTTGATATATCGATCACGTGGTTAATGGACGCCCCCTAAGAACAAGATCTATTTACACACCAGCAAATTTACAGACTACATATGAAAACTGATATTGTTTTTAAACTCTTTCCGAGCTATGTTTTTTTTACAAATCGTAATTTTTATCAACTTAGTACTAACTTGTTTTTAATTATTTTTCATCTGTGTTTTTGAAAATCATACCCTTTTGTGAAATAATATTCTCATAATAAAATTTTCAACGTAAAAATGTTTCTTAAATCCCTGATTGTTTTATGACATTTATTGTCGAAAAAGGAATCGACTAAGATAACATTTATGGCAATGTTCCCATTCGTAATTTTTTATAATTAATTTCCTCAAACAGACTAACACAATTTAAAAAAATCCACTTATTCTTTTCCCAAACCATTATTTTTTACAATATTGAAATCCGCAAAAAGAACAAATTAGATTAGGATTACTTTTAAAGCAACATACTCAATTTGTAATATTTTACTATTCTATCTACTACTATCACTATTTTTGTAATAATTTTTGCATCATTTTTACAAAATATACGCAAAAGAGGCTAACATTTATTTTATAACGATTTTAACAATTTTAATCAAATACATTGCTACATGGATGGTCTAACATGATTTTAGACTATGTACTATGTACCCGGATTCACGATTATTTATATTTAATTAACGTAAACAAATCAAGATAATTTTCCGACAGTATATTTTGCAAAGCATATTTGATATAGCAAATGCAATTAACGCAAAAATTATGGTTTTAGTATCAATCCATTCAAACCCAACTATTAACCAATCTATTTCTCCTCAAATGCTTAGTAATAAAAAACAAAAACAAAATTAATATCAACAATATATATCTCATCGAGTTGTACTGACTGATCGTTTCCCCACCGCTGCTGGCCCTTCTGTTGGGCTTTCCTCCAGACGCCGAAATGCTCCTGTGAACTCCCCGATGACTAGGCGACTGTCCTCCTGCAGTAGCATTTGTCCCGGAGGTCACCGAGTTATTGTTGCCGGTGGCTGCTCCATGTGAATTCACCGTCCCTTGGCCGGCGTTGGAACCGGTCAAATTGCGCAGAGACAGCGAACTACCAGAACGGGAACCATCGCTTTCCGGCTGGAGGAAATAGAAAATGATTTATTGTATGGAAAATTATAATTATGACGAAGATCTGTATAAACTTACGTCTGAATTCTTTCTTCCAAGAAGCAAATACGTGGCAAAAATATCGTCATATCTACATTGCGCCAAAGAATCTTCAATTTCTTGTCTATTGTAGCCCAAGCAAACCAGTGCTTCTACAATTACAATAATCGAGATAAAAAAATATATTTATATTTATTATAATCTACATAATATATATAAAAATAAGTCGGGTTTTTCTTTCTGACGAAAAAACTCCAGAACGCCAAATTTCAAATATATTATTTAGAAAATCATTGTTTTTCACATGGGCAGTTATACGTTGCCTGTCCACGAGTTGGAAAACCACGAACCGTTTTCTACAATTTTGCATTCGTTGGAAAGGTCTCGGGCCTCCGCAAGGTTTATAGCTAAGAATGCAAACTGCTGAAACTTCAGGCACCGTAATTAAAAAATCGAGTAATGACATTAGTGAGAATTATCAGAATTATGCCTGGTTAAGTCAACGAGCAATAATGATGTACAGTGAATTTCACCATTCAATCAAAAATTGCTGGCGATTTGGTGACATACCAATAATTCCGACTGGTCTTCCGTTTGACTTCAAACAATTGCAATTTCCAGTTCGCCTTGCGTTATAATGACAATTAACAAGTCGCAAGGCCAATCGCTTAGTGTTTGCGGAATAAATTTCAAATATATTATTTAGAAAATCATTGTTTTTCACATGGGCAGTTATACGTTGCCTGTCCACGAGTTGGAAAACCATCCGCTTTGTTTGTGTTCACGTCAGACCAAAAAACAAAAAATGTGGTTTACCAAAGAGCACTTCAATGAAAAGAATAATTTGCGGATTCACTTTCATTTACTTATAGAAGTTCAACTAAAAATACTTCATTTTTGTAATCGAAATAAATTCATTACTGTTGTGCAATAAAATCAAATTTTTGCTTTTCAAATATAAAACAAACAAAAAATTTCTTCATCTTTCTCACGAAACTATCGGGTGCGAAACGGAGTTCGACGGGTTTGCTAGTCATATATATTTTTTACCTATCCGTTTATGATCCTTGTAATCTTGCATTGGCTCTATAAATGGTTTTAATTCCTCCTCTTCATAACCCATATTCATCCATTTGTCTTTCATGATGTTTTCTAAGCTAGCCCTTTTGGCAGGGTTCAACACTAAAAACTTCTTCAAGAGATTCTCACAGTCCGTTGACATGTAGAAAGGAATTCTAAAGAAAAAAATGATATATTAAATCATCGATGCAATATAATTTTTGTTTTTTAGCCTTACCTATATTTCCCCCGTAATACTCGCTCTCGCAATTCGCGTAATGTTGAACCATCGAAAGGTAATGAACCACTTACTAAGGTATATAAAATGACTCCTAATGACCAGACATCTACTTCTGGACCATCGTATTTTTTGCCTAAAAAATTATAAAAAATAAATTTAATGTATTGGTTTAATGTATTTAACCCGAGTTGGTTAAATCGGCGTTATTGTGATTATTTCTTAGTTTACCTTGAAAAAGTTCAGGAGCAGCATATGGAGGGCTACCACAAAATGTGTCGAGCTTACTACCAGGTGTAAATTCATTGGAAAAACCAAAATCTGCTATCTTGATATTCATCTCGCTGTCAAGCAGCAGATTTTCAGCCTTCAAATCCCTTAAAATTTAATTTTAGCATTAATACCTTCATTCCTTTGCAATAATATAGAAATTGTGTAAGTTTCTACCTGTGAATAATTTTCTTTTGGTGACAATATTGTACAGCGCTAACGATTTGCCTAAATTTGGCTCTAGCTTCCTTTTCTTTCATCCTACCATGAAGAACAAGATAATCAAACACTTCACCACCTGATGCATATTCCATTACTAGATATAAAGTTTTTTCTGTCTCAATCACTTGAAACAGTTTTACAATATTTGGGTGATCCAACATTTTCATGATGCGCACCTGGGTGTAACACAAAATAAATCCATGAATAAATACATAAGAAACAGAGTCCATTACCTCCAAAGTTTTCTTACCTCTCGGAAAAGTTTTTGAAGCGAACCAGGATTGAGCTGTGTTTTGTCAATAATTTTGATAGCTACCTCCTTTCCTGTGGGTACATGTTTTGCTAATTTTACCTTAGCAAAGTTTCCTTTGCCAATTGTCTTCAGTAATTTATATTTGCCAATGTGTGGTTCATCCGATGTCCGGGATCTAGATGAAACCCGTGTCGAGGAGTCGGAAGCACTCTGGAAAAAAATAATATCTAATTAATTAATTGCAATAAATCAACAATAACTAAATTAATGTCACAATTTTTTATGTTTCGATTTTTCATTGTTATATTATACATGAAAAGAACTAGACAATAATATTTTAATTCTGAAATATCAAAGGCTATGTGCATTATATTTTAAAGTGGTCGTAAAATAAGTCTATTTGAATAAAAGGTTTTCTGCATAATAGTTAAATATATTCCGAGCATAACCATCGAATGCAGTTAAATAATTTCTGTTATATAACTGAAATGAGTGATTCGTTTCCGACAATATCTCAATAGATATGCAAATGTAGTTATTTATACTGAATACTGGAATCGAATAATAGAATAAAAAAATTCTAGTGATGGAAAATCTGAGCGATTTAAATATATTACAATATTTTGAACTTTTTATTTTAGTTTTAAATGTTGAAAATTGCGCTGGATTAACAAGTTATAATTTATTCATAAATATAATTAGTGTTTATACCATCAAAAATCTATGTACTCTGCTTAATTGTTAATTCAGAAAAAAAATTCATGAAACTAGTACAATTTAAATATTTTACTGCTGAGTAATTTCACACGTCTATCATCATCATAAAAAGCTTTTATAATAAAGTTATAATATAGTTTTGATTATAATTTATTCAGAAATTAGACAACAATCCAACTTGTATAAAACTGTCATTAAATGCGCTTGCATATTTGGTGCAGAATTCTTCATTCTTTTCCCAGATTTTTTTTTTTAAGTTTTGCATAAACCAGTTTGTCGATAAAATCAACTTCTTCGCGGCTTTAGTGATCCATACTCTATAATTTGTAATATGGCATATTTTACATCCAAAAAGAGCATTAAACATTAAACAGTTTCCCTCAAATCGCATCTCATTTGTAATAATTTTTGCATTAACAATATTGAAAAAAAACTGAGATGTAATTAATAAGTAAGAAAATCATATCCATTAGTTTAAATAAATAAATGTATTTTTCTGATTGTATTAAGTTAGGATGAAAAATTATCCTGGAGATAATTAATTAAACATTAAGGCGGTTTCAATCAAATACAATTTACGATGAGAAGGGCTGTCGACGTGGGATGTTCTCTAGGGAATTTCAATATCGTGACAACACTCGAGGTACAAATCGTTTAATTTATTGGAAGTATCTATTTGAAGGGCATTTTGAAGACAAAGCTGAGATTATAATTATATTTCGTATTATATTGATTTTAGGAAGTAAGAACATTATATTACTCATAGAGAATAGCATATAAATATTCGTATAAAATTATCCTGTATAGTTTGACATATATAATTATCTTACTTGGGTATTCATCAAATATTATAGGCAAGAAAATTATCTAGCTCATATATTAATAAAATTATATTATACATTGAAATAAGTCTATCTAAATAGAATGTGTAAAATTCCTGCAATATTAAAAAGTTTACTTATGTAAAGCTTCTAAAATTTAATACCAATTTGCAAAATCGATCATAAGTTTAAAGAAAAGGATTGAGTTCTATCTACTTAATATTACAATTTGTTCTTATAAAAAATATTATTATAAGCTGCTCCTCTATATCGAGAAATACCTTAGGCGTGATTGGACTTAAAGGAGTTATTGGAGTAATGGGCGTTCTTGTACGATTCGAACTGCTTTGCGGAGTTTTAACTTTCTTCAAATCCAACGGAGGCGGCGGTCTCCTCACCATTGCAGGTGGAGGTTTTTCTCGGACACTGTCCGCTCTCTGGACGCTTTTCCGCGCCTGCTTCTCCTGCATCTGCAACGCTTTTCGCATCCTCTGCACCGTCTGCTCCACCTCCCTGGTGTCGCTCGAAGTACGGCTCAAAACCCGTGCAGCCGCTCGTTTTACGGTGGTCATCAAAGGAAGTCCGGAACTGTGATGTCCAGTAGAATTTCTGGCAGGTCCACCTCGTAAAAATGTATCATTCTCACCATCAAAAGATGCGTCACTAATTCCTGTATTTATCAGATTTTCGTGATCATCGTACATGGTAGGTTTGTGTGATACTTGCTTTGGTTCTAAAGTTTTATCCGCACTTGACCATATCTTTTGGTCCCCGCGTTTGTCTTTGGTCAAAGCGCTATTTTCGTGCTCCATTTTTGTAATTTGTTTCTCCAAATCGCTCAATGCCACCATGGTAGAAGCATCTTCTAAAGCAATATCTAAAGATTTTGTATCAGCATTCACAGTGTTTCTATGATTCATATCTGATTCATAATTGTAATTATTCCTGCTACATTCAGGTCTTTTTCTTGAAGTGATCACTGTGATCTTTTTAATATCTTGTGCCGTTTTCAGTTGTTTGGCAATAGCGTTATCATCTTTAGATAACGATGTAAGTGGCGTTGTTGTCGATTTCATTATTTTGTCTTCCAAATTATTAAATTTACTATTCACTTCTTCTGGTTTAAAACTTTTCAACTGCACCGGGCTTTTGAACTTTGGCAAAATCGGTGCCGCACTCGCGTTTTTAGTGGCATTAGTCCCCGAAGTTAAAGTTTTCAAACCAGGCAATCGGAAACTTCTCCTTACAGCCGATTTACGATCCAATGAGTCAACCTCATTATTCCTTGCACTCATATTGAAGTGTTTTTCGGTTCACTGGTTCACATGTACAAATGGCTGCTTTTCAATCTCGTTGTCGTTAACCTCGAAAATTAATGTATCTGAAATTTTAAATCACATTTTGGTTTTGTTGTTCCACAGATCTTAATGATCATCTTTAAAGCCACTATTTCGGACACCACTGAGAACGATTCACAATCCTCTTAGCAACAAGTAGAAGAAATAACAATTGCGAAGAATTCCCAACTCCATGTAACTTTGCTGATGTTTATAACAATATGAAAGGCTTTAATGATAAGACGAACACATATGACAGAAGCAATTACGAATAGCACGATATAGACTTTATACCGGCCAGCTTAAAAGCATTAAATTTTATTTGTGTTGTAATCTGATCGAAAATTGAAATGAAACATACTTGCAATAACAATAATAATATATCAGAATAGATATTTTTAAATCAATAATCTTATAGCAATTTATAATTCTGTAGCAGAACCTTAAATTGCGAAAACCAATAATGGTGGCTAATAATAATATTTGCGCGTTTTTTCAGGAAATTATACTGGACTACAATTAAAACTAAATTGAATAATCATTAATCAAGATCGCCTGAGGCTAAAAACTAAAGGAAATATACCGCAGCTGCAATTATTCTTTAATATTAAAACATGATGAGCATCTCGTATGATAAAATAGACAATCAGTAAATATTGAACCATGGAAAGTAATTTCTTAATTGATCAATTAATAGAGTATTAAAACAATTTTAGTTAGTATTCCATTAATTACATAATCGTATAGAATTCTGAATAGAGAACACGCGAATGAATTAGAGACCAACAAACAATTGACTCCAATTAATGTTTGATTGGTTTAATAATTTCAATTAATTGAACATTGACGTTTCCTTGAAGTCAGGCCATATAATCTGATTGGCTAAAATTGTTAATAAAATTCTTAAGGAGAAGAAATAGAAGTGTCATATATAAAAACAATAATAATGATCATACAATTTCAAGACAGATAATATACGAGTAATCATATTTTAATTTCACTGGAAAAGTAACGCCATATAAAATCCTTCATTCGAGTTTCGCTAATTCAATTTTTACAACCAGAAACACTCAGATTTTTTTATAGCCAGTAAGATTATAAATATTATGAAATTACATACACACGCCTTTCATATTTTATATAAGGGTAATGTAGCGAAAATAATAATCTTAATAATCAGAGCGCGCTATAATTCTCTTTGGAATTATGTGAATTCTTATGAAAGAAATGGCGTGCGAACAGATAATATTCAGGTGGTATCATTTGGTGCTACCCATTTATATCTGATACCAGAAAATATCAAAAATGATACATTATAATACTATATTATACAAAATCAGTCGAGGAGATATGAGAAAAATTGGAATTTAGAATTTCAAAGTACGACAAGAACGTGGAAAAAAAATTGAATTTGAAAAAAAACATGTATAATTTATAATTCTACGGTTCTTAACTTTAAAATTCTAAACAAGCACATAGCTGTCTCTTCATGTCAACTGTTAAGACACAACAAATTAATTAAAATTCTCAAACAAATCAAGCTGCCACCATTTTTAGCTGAACTAACATTCAAGTTCATTTTATATATGTACAACGTATATTTTAATTAAATATTTGTTCGCCAACATATGATTTTCTTCAATTCGACGTATCTCTGTAGAAAACAATGATATATGCGACGGATTTAATATATATATAGAACTAAGAGTAAATTTACATGTTATCGCCGTATTTTTAGCAAAATCACGAAGATAAGGACTTATCAGTTTTTGTTGATGACAAAGCAACGATTTTATGACAAAGTTAAAAGTACCCACTAATTAGAATGGTAGAAGACAGACATACTTTAGTGCTATATAAACTAAGTATAAAAAATATTTAGAATTGAAAATAAAGACTATTAATTAATTTAATAGTGCCACTTTATATACTAGTAATCATTACTCTATTTTTGCAGGTATAAATCAATAAAACTTTGAACCATGCCGTTTGGAATTTAGACTTGACTGTAGATAGATTAGCCTTTGTTATGACAAATTTTATATTTTGGTGTCTACGTATTTTCCAGACTTTTTGTTTCATAATTGCAAATATCGTTTAGTATAATATATATGGCGTATTGCCTTTCAAGAAATTGCATTTACCATTTTTAGTACTAGAACTTGAAGAGTTATGATAAAATAGATAATTTATGAAGTAATTTCTTAATTCATCTATAATATTGAGTACTCGATTTAATACGTATAAAATTACTCATATTTCCTAGAAATAACGCCAAATTCCCCGTTCATTCATAATGGTGTTTCAACGTTTTCATGTGCTAAAAAGGTCCACCAATATTTTGTATTCAAACTATAATTAATGTAATATATTTTGGAAGGTGTTGGAAAATTTCCAAACTAAGTACTATATGAATATTGAGAAAAATATTATGAATTTAAATGCATGAAGTATTTTATTATCAACTTTAACAACATTCTACAGGATTTTTCAAGAAAATTTTAAATCATTATCTGCAAGATTCTGAATAAATTTTAGACAAAATTTTTAATTATTTTTAGCATTTGAAAATAAATATTTTATATCAAATTCAACCAAATCTTACTAGATGATCTCAATATCACAACATTTCAAATAATTTTTGGAAAAATTAAATTATTTTCAGTATCATTTCTAATCAAGAAAATTTTAAATAATTTTCAGAGAAAACTAATAATTTTAGGGCTAGCCTTATACTGATTTATTATACATATAAGTTTCTTCTGTAACATAGAACAGAAAACGTCAATTTTATCATAAAACAATTTTATAAATCGTATTTATTCTAGCAAATATTTTTAAATTAATGAAACTAATGTTCGCCATTATACATCATATGTAATATTTTTTTAACTAAATATTAAATTACTTTTAGACAAAGCTCTAAATGATTATAAGACTATTATTATACTGATTTATACACGTTTGTATAGTAAAATGTTCATTTTATCACAGGAAAACTGTACGAATAATATTAATTCCAGCTAATTTTATTAAATTAATAAAATCTTTATACGAAATATCTGATAACTGGCCTGATTATCTTATCGCAAAAACAAATTTGATAGCAATTAGATGGCTGGGCGTAAAATTGATTTTGTATGAATTATATATCACACATATGGCGCACGTTAATAAATCATTTTTTGAATGTTACAAAAAAACTGGAACGTTCACGTTCGCAAAAAATAATATAGCATAATAATGGTCATATGAAAATATGTAATATAAAGTAGTGTAAATTATTTTGTATATTTTCCCACAAAATTACGCACTAAACACTTATTAACTAGCTTTCTAAAGCCCACAACACCCACTTATCACATCTGCCGGCGACATTACACAAAATCCATGGTTAAAACTGAAAATTATCCACGCACTTTCATATGCTTTGTTCTAATATTGCACATACGTCTGTATCAATTAATTTCATTAGCAAATATTATTGATTCGCACATTTTATCCATTTTACACTTGGCAACACATCGATTGAGGTGTGACTAAACGACTCTACAGATTAGCAGAGAACAAACTAATCCATGAGACCATTTTCAATATCAGCGTTCCGATATATCAGATATCATTATCGAGACATAGATATAAACGAGCTCGTTGTACGAATAAGGTGTACTGCACCTTTAATAGAAACCGAACTGACGACAAAGTTTTATTTGTATGGGACAGAAATACAATGGAGAATAGTATAGTATACACAGATTTTATTTGTAAAAGTAGCAACTGGCATATATGCAAATGAGAGGCCCACATCATAATCGGTGGACATGTGGGCGCAGTCTCGAGAAGAGGGGCCTTTTAGTTTTAATTCCTTCCAGAATTGGACATCTGAATTGCATAAGATGATAATACTGGGACTTATATAAAAAAGATGATGAAAGTCCTAAGTTACCAACATCAACTTGTTTGTGAAAAACGACATTTTTTGGTTATCAAAGATGTACACCATTTTTTTTTCAAATTCTATATAAAATTCTAAATTCTATTCTAAATTCCACAAGATGGAAGGCCTTATGAAAGATACTGAAAACCTTAAGAAAATCATTCTTAATCAATTGCTTATAGAAAAATACTCAGCTAAGAATTCTTTTTTTTTTCATTTATATAATAAGACTAGCAAACCGGGCGAACTCCGTTTCACCACCAGATGGTTTCATTTTATGTAAGATTTTGTTTGGTGATTAAAACATGAAGAAAAAAATTGCCTGCTGTTGAAATTGAATAAAAATTTGCACAATACACGTGATTGATTTGATGGTTTCCAATTGAAATGTTAGGAAACAAATGAGTAGCAGCCAAACAAAAAATATTAGTTTGTAGTACATGCTAAGTATCAGAGATGACGCTGTATGTGAAAAAGAAAAAGTGTTTTCCGCTTTTCTGTTGAAATGTTTCTTCAATTTTCTTTGCTATAAACCTCACTGAGTCCGAGTCCTTTCCAAAATCGTCGAAATCGGTTCGTGCGTTCTGGAGTTATACCGTCAGGAAGGAAAACTCGACTTATTTTTATATAATAGATATTATCAAGATCTGCACCCATTTATTTATGATGATAATGATATGAAATATTCCATAAAATAATACAAGATACGATATTCTAGAAAATTTCTAGAACTACTCTAGCATTTTTAAAAATTGATGTACTGAAAGAATATCTTTTAAAATACGATTAGAATAAACTAATTAAATTGTGTTAAAAACCAAAAAATAGCATTTGTAAAGGTCATTTAAAAGCTTAAGTAGTTGATATACTCCACAAAATACTAAACAACAAGATTATTTAGGAAATTTAATAAATATAAATATTATTATTAATTTCAAAATATCAATTTAATAAAAATTAACATTTTGAACAAATACGATTAATTTAATTAAATTTTGTAATAAATAGTGCCAAGATCCAAGAAGATTAGATTTTATAAAGCTCACTTAAACGCTCAAATATTCAATAAAATAATAAAATTCACGATTTTCTAGCAAAACCGTATAA